GGACGTGAATTCAAGCCACCAGGTCCGGGACACGAACCGCGGTCGACTACATGGGAGTCCAGCGACATAGCCATTACACTAAAGCTTAATCTATTCTAAGATATAAAGTTCATTCAAAATAGATACACACATTTCCTGTCAAAAGCCAGGGTTTTGTTTTTTTATGGATGAATAGTATTCCATTGAATATATGTGCCACAGTTTTTCTAATCATTCATCAGTTCGTGGGCATTTGGGTTGCTTCCATGACTTGGCAATCGTGAAAAGTGCCGCAATAAACATCGATGTGCAAGCAATTTTCCGATAAAGTATTCTTCTGTCCTTTGGGTAGATACCAAGGAGTGGATATGGAAGACTTACTGCTGAGTGAAGCAAGCCATGCTATGAAGGAGAAGCATTGTATGTCCCCACTTAATATATACCGAGTGTCTGCACTCTATGACTGAAACTAATTGTCTAAAGGATATAGAAACACAGTATATAGATGTAAATATCAGATATAGTGTGTGTAAAAGAGGAGGGTCTGTGGAAGGACATTTGGAGGAGAGACAGGGAGGAAAAGCATTAATGGCACAAAGCATTAATGGCACAACATCTGTTGAAGATGTTTCGTGGTTTTATCGACAGTGCTGGGGAGAGGTGTTCACCTGCTGAAATATCCATTTTGTAAGATAAATAATAAAGTGATTGAATGTATGGAAGAAAATGAAATGAAAAAATTAAAAATTTAAAAATTTAAAAAACTCAAAAAAAAAAAAAAAGAGAGACCCACCCCCACCACTCTTACTTGAAGGCAGTACGAAAACAAATCGTGAGCCATATTCTTCCCTGTGGGCCATAGTTTATGAACCCCTCCTCTAAATTACTTACTGCCAGTACATTTGTAGCTGGAAAAAAACGAGGTCAAGAAGTAATACTAATCTTACCAGGTTTACTCAAACTCTATAATGAATACTTTTGAAGTCAATGCCCTGTTTATTGTGGCATAATAAAACTCTTCTTTGCCCTGCTTGAAACATCTGCTGATCCTCCACTGATTCCAGCTCTGTCTTATCAGTAAGGAAAATATTTTTAGAAAGTCCCAGGAGATTTTCTCGAAGGACTCACCAACCAACACTGAACTTTTTATTTTAAAAGCAAAGGTAGCTGGGGAAGGCAACATCTGGCATTTTCAGTTCCAAATGCATTAGAAAGATGGGGACATGTCTGTGTGGAGACAACCAACTGGTGTCTACCAGGATTGTTCTGAGTGGTCGCTTAAAATGGTATAATTTTATATATATATACACATATATATACATATTTATACACACACACACATATATATATATATACACACACACACATATATAATGGTTTTTATATTTGTCCTATAAGTAAACTGTAAAAACTTTTAACAGAAAAAAAATGTGATTTAGATGTGTTTGTACCTGAAAAGCTTGCTTTTTTATTTATTGATTGATTGATTTGCCATTAGGCCTATAGTGTTAAATGAGAAAAGATCAGATAAGACTTCTAGATCACCTTTAGGTTTTTATTTGTTTGTTTTTGTTTTTGTTTTTGTTTGGGTTTTTATCATAACTTATGTGTGTTTGCTGGAAAGAGAGAGAGACATAGAGAGGGAATGTAAAAAATCACCCCCTAGGGGAGATATCATATTACACTCCCTTCTCCTCCATTCTCATGGGATTTTGGGCACACACGCACATGTGTCCAGTGTGGTTTTCAAGCCACTGTGTGTAGGACTCGAACCAAAGTTGGCCATACAGAAGTTCATCACCTTAAGTACCACACCACCTGCTGGCCCACGACCTTCAGTTCTTAAGAGAAAATCACAGCCAGTACCATTTGTTCAATGCAATTACAGCTCTGTCAAATGCAGGAAAAGCCACAATGACTCCTGAAGTGACAGGGTTGCGTGGCTGGCAATCCAAGGCCAGCGGGCCCAGGCTTCCCTGTGCTAAGTGGAGACTTTGGAACACAAGCCAAAGAAACCCACTCTCCATCGTAAAACCACCTGGAAACAATGTACGATGTGTATCACTTCCTTGAAAGAGCGGAGAGCTCTGAAGGAATTCCCAAACGAGCCGAAAGTTCAGTTGGGCTGTTTTTCAGGTGGCAGGGATCCCTGTTATTACATATCTTGCCTTATCTTGTAAAAACCCACATATTGGAACAGGGTTAATGCCACTTCACTAAATAACGAGATTATCACAAGTTCAAGTCCTGAGAGGTAGTTCGCTCTTGCTTATCAAATGCCGTTTTCACAGCTAGTGCAACTTAACAACCTAAATGAGATGGCAGGGTGTCTGACCTACTTTGAGAACACGCCATGCTTCAGCAAAACTATTAAACACATTCACAGTGCACTAACCTCAGATCTCAGTCGCCAACCATCAAAGTGAATGGATTAACCCACTTTCTGATAACGTCAGCATCTACAATAAGAACAATAGCAACTCTCTGTAACTACATAGTTATAAGTATTTATGTAACTAAAAATATAGTCACATGTGCTGAACACTTAACGCATGAAGAGTCAGCTCAGTGCTAGACGCGTGCACTGGCATTTAAATCTCACAGTGACCTTCCAAGGGAAGGCCTGTCATTATCCCCATGTTCCCAATTATGAAGTTTAGGCTCAGTTACCTGCTGCATCATTAGCGAGTAAATGATTAAAACAAGAGTCTAATCCGCCCTACCCAAGTGAGCTGCCACGGGCAAGAGTCTACCTTCTCTCCACAGGGCTCTTCACACTGCCATTTGTTTGTCTGATTAGTGGATGGAACTCTGCTTCAAAACAAGCAATGAGCCCAGGATCTAACAGCCTCCTGCATGACCCTTGTTGCTCCCCATGTGCCCAACCCGGTAAAGCAGTTGATGAGATTATTATTACCAAATGTGCAAGTGGACAAGGGGATGCCTTTAAGTGCATCAGTGTCTGCTCTCAGGCTGTCAGGAGCTCTGCCCACATCTCCATTAATTTGCTTTAAAATGGCAAATTGTGAATGATTCTATAGTAAAAGATGGTTTCCTTTTTCAAATGGGCTTTTTAAGAGATACCACAAATAATGAAATTCCAAATTTGGAAGACTAAAAGTGATTTGAGAGGATGTGATCGAAGCAGCTTCCGAAGAAAAGCGCAGCACTGAGGACACTGTCCTGAAATGGCGGGAGGGACCACAGGAAAGAGCAGCTCAACTCACACCCACGTTCTGAGGCCATTTCCAGCAGTAGACTGGTCGGTGCACTACACCACCAACAGGGTCTTGCAAGAAAAGGGCAGTAAGCAGGGTGTGCAGTAAGTACTCTCTGCTGTGTGTTCTCATAAAGGCTTAACCAGGTTAATATTTCGTCCTTACTTCCCTTCCAAATGTTTAACCAAACTAAAAATACTAACATGTTGCACTGTATCATTTATTAATCAGAGTGTGGGTGTATTGCTATGTCGCTGGTAGGATGAGGGACAGATGTTTTGAGAGTAGAGAGGGAAGGAAAAACATCTTAAATAATTCCTTTTACTTAAAACCCTCCCTTGCACCTGGTTTTAGGGTTTCTCTTGGTCTTCCCAAATGTTCCTGTGTGAAATTAAACACGCGTTTTTGAAAATGACTCTGGGACTTCAGCACACATTTGGGTACAAAATGGAATTGGATGCAGATTGGCTTTAAACTGCCTTTTAGTTTTGAAGGACCAAGGAGCTGTCTGCTAAGGCAGTTGTGTGTGACCTTTGCAGGACAGCAGCGTGTAAGATGCTTTTACTAGGGGACAGGCGCCCATGCAGAATACCTAGATGCATCTCGGAACTTCAGCGCATCTCAACAGTCACGTGGGCTGCATTTCACTGGCAAATTCGGATGCAAAATCTTCAGGTAAGAATTCCTATGCTGCTCCCCACTCTTCAAGCTGACTGATAGCTAGGGTGCATTCACTGATAATCAGGAGGTGAGGAAGGCCCCCAGAGGAGCAGGACATAGCTCTAGCAGACCCAGAGATGTACTCCTCAGAATTTTTAAAATAATATCAACTGCAGAATTGATTATATATGCTATATTTTATGTAATTTTTTGTTATTGTTGTTGGTTTTGCCATAGGGCATGTGCGCTCACCAAAGAGAGAGGGACAATGAGAGGGAAAGTGAGTCATCAGCCCCCACGGGGTTTGGCCATGCTGTAATCCCTTCTCCTTCATCTTCTCCTGAGATTTTAGGCACATATGCACACAAGTCGGTATGATTTTCAAGCCACCAGGTCTGGGACTCGAACTACAGTTGACTATGTGAGAATTTAGTACCTTAACCATTATGCCACCTGCTGGCCCATGATTTTTTTGGTTTTTGCCATAGGGTGCATGCACTAGTTGGAGAGAGACAGAGAGAGTGAGTGGGAAAGTGAGAAATCACCTCCCAGATTAGATGGCCATACCATAATCCCTCCTTCTCTGCTCTCCTCCTGGGATTTTGGACATGCACGCACATGTGCCTGGCATTATTTTCAAGCCACTGGGTCTAGGACTTGAAGCAGTCAGTCATGTGGGAGTCCAGGGCCTTAACCACTATGCCACCTGCTGGCCCTCCATTTTATATCATTTTAAAACAACAAAAGACACGAGTACAGCCTTGACTTGATAACATTTATTCAGTATTCTTTGAAATTAGCAAGAATCAGAAGAAGCACATCTCAATCAAATACAGCCACGGAAATGTCCTGGATATAAATAAAGATGCACTATGAGCAATACTCACTACGGAAGGAACCAGTACTCTCTTACACTTACTACCTCTTAGCAACAAACACCTCAAACGGAAAGTTAATTTACTCACAATAGAGAAATCTTGACTTATAAGAAAAATAGAGATGCAAACTGATCATAATTCCCCTTGCTGAGCCTCTTTATTAGGTATGACCTACAGGTCTACTTCCACAACTGTTACGAAAATGACAAAAACAAACTCGAAAGAATGTTTCTGCAAAGTTCAACCAAACAGTGCAGAAATAAATTACCCATGCACAGAATAAGGCAAAGGCTAATTTCATTCAGGTTAGGAATAGTAAGTTTAACTAGTTTCTTTTTTCACAAAACAAACAATTCAGACTTCTTTTTAAGTAACAGGTATACGGTTATTATGCATCATACTCTACATGTTTTTCCTAACTCTACTCAGAAAGCCAGCACTCACACATCAAATAGAAACTTCTCCTTGACTAGACTTATTCTGTAACAACCACAGAAATTAATCTGGGTTTTGTGATAGTGTCTACAATGGAAAGAGCACGCACTAGTAGAAGCGTACAGTTTAAAGAGCCGAAAGGACATTAAAACGTAGTCTATGAATTTCACAAATTCTGTTTTTAAAATATTTTTTTCAAACTAAAAGCTGCAGAAAATTAGTTCTTAAATATTCTACTGAAAACTCTTGAGCAGCTACCATTTTAAATTCCTTAAGCTTTTTATCTTCTTAAAAATATTTAAATGAGGGTAAGTATCCCATCTTTTTGAAAAATAATCCAAAAAAAAAAAAAAAGATTACAAATCTTTTGTTTTAATCAGTGTGACCAAGGGTTTGTCATCGGGACTGTAATCTTCATAGGCAATGGGGGTCACGTCATACATTGCAGGCCGGGACTTCTTTCCAAATCTGAAACCACAGAGAGAGAAAAGAATAGTTAGATCAAGATGGAATCTTAAGTCCCCGTGGTGAGAATAACTTATATTCAAGATTCAAATGGAGCCATAATAATACTCTAAAAAATACATTCTCTAACAAGTACACAAATTTAACACATCCTGATACTAAAATTGAATGCTGCTCAGTACAAATGATAGAAGGCCATTGTTTCAGTCTAAGCTCCTGCTCTAGGCCTTGAGACACCAGACCAAAATGGAGTCACTCATCTAAAATGCCAAATCACCAAACAGGAACATTGAAGAAGCTGATAAATCCCCAAACAGACCGGTTTTTCCTATAAATAGGAGATTGCAGTCTACCTGCGTCAGCACTGTAAAGAAATAAAACTTGTCACATCTCTTGGCTTTCTTAGGTATGTGCCCCTTAAGCAACTCAAGATGCCACCTGGACTCCCTGGACATTCTGTTTTATGAACATCCTTGGAGCCAGCAGGTGGCATGGTGGTTAGGGCACTGGATTCCCACATGGCCCATTGTGGTTTGAGTCTTGGACCTGGTAGCTTGCTTTCCTACTCTCTCTCTCTCTCTCTCTCTTTCTCTCTCTCTCTCGTGAGTGCACATACCATATAGCAAACTTAAAAATAATAATAGTAATAATAAAGTAAATAGTAAGAGCATCCTTGTTGCCCAAATTCATTTCCCCTTTAACTTCCAGACTCACTGTCTCCACGCTTAGTTTAAGCTTAAGCAAGTGGACTCCAGGTGATCAGGCAGTCATCCTGTGCCCTTGTATACAATTTGGCCAATCCCTGCTGTATATGACTCCTTGTTATGCCCCACTCCCTTTTGTGGCTATTGCCTTTAAAATCATCCTTAAATACGTAACATGTTGGCACCTATTAGTATCTAGGGCAACTTGGATTTTGTGATGACTGAGGGATTGTCCTATATGCTAGCTCAAAAAATTTCTTTGCTTTACTTGATTTGACTTGGCTTTCTTTTGTTGCTATGTGTAGAAATATACATCGTTGGTGTAGTAGGGAAAAAAAAAAGAATTTCACAAAACATAGAGCCCAAATCAATGTTGAAGCTTCTAGGTTAAATCCTGGCAAAGCAGTCAAGCATGACAGCTCAAGAATAGGTTTTAAGAAAACGTGTATCGATTTGTCTTTTTCTTCTGAGACCCATAAATATTTGGAGAGACAAGTTTATTTTGCATCCACTCTGGTGCCTGGAATACAGAATGGCAGGGCTGGGAGCCGACAGTCTTTCCTGTGGGACTTTCAGGGGATAAACTGTGAGGACTCAGCAGTCATCCAAGATCCCATCACAAGAAGGGCAGAGAGAGGAAATCATTGCAAATTTTGAATCCCATTCACCTTTGACCTCCCAACCACACACATACAGAAGCCATAGCTGTCCTCTAAGCACAAAGCCACTGTCTCCACAGTTCATATACATGAAATCCCCTCTCAGCAGAACCAATACTCAGTCAAAACCTAATTCCAGGACTTCCTGCCAAATTGGTCTTAAGATAGCAGTTACTAAAATAAAGCCAATTCAACTTGGGTGGTCTCTTCCCATCCAAGACCTTACCTTCCTTAAAACCTCTGGAGTGCAACGCTATTTAAACAATCTTAACACAACCCCACCATTGCCTCTCCTTTTCATAGGCAACCTTTTTTACCTGTCTTAAGACCAGCAGGCCTCATTACAAAGGAATTTTAAAGAACCTTAAATTTTAAAAGGTTAGTGGGGTGGAGCCCCTAGGAATCAGAGGGGTTTAGTTACCATGGCTCTTGTCCCACCTGTCCTTACCTATTTCCTCCTTTGATATTTTTTGAAAGACTGCCTTCTCACACATAGGGATAACAAGTAGAATCAAGTGGGAAATGAGAAAATAGTACATTCTTCATATGATCTTTTATTTTTAAGCATTCATCATCCTGCTATTCTAATTAGTTCAAGATTTACTGACCTTTAAGAGCACAAAGGCGTAAACCATGCCAGATGGGCACCAAACTAGTGCAGTTAGAGTGAAAGCAGAGTCTGTCCCCCAGGAAATCCACAGCTATTACTGCAGTTTTCAAAAAGGCTTCGGTGAAATTGTTTCTAAAAGGTGAAGCCTCCTGGAAGGTCCAGGATTGTGCGGGCATGGATACGGGTCAGATTACAAGAATCTGTTTCTCCAAATTGAATGAGGCCTTCAAAACCCAACAGTATAAAATGTGTCGAGGGTGCAAAAGCCCATTGGATCTTACACTTTCTCTCAAGTCTGAAAATTTCAGAGGTCCCATTTATATGTAAATATTTTGACAATATATTTCTCATGAAATAGCTAGATGCCCTGGTCATAAAATAATACTACTAATTTAGCAAACCAAAACATCAACAACCCGGTGAAAAGCTCTCTATACCCTACCTTGGCAGCCATAGGTTTCCAGCTAAAACTTTGAAAATACACATTTCATAAATATAATTTCATAGTTTAAAGAAGACTCTGTTTCTGCAAAAGCTAGGAAGTTAAATGTCCCCCATCCATTAATTCAATCCATTAACAAGTTATACTTCAAAGGGCTGTAAACTTAAAAGTTGCCACCAGGGAGCTGGGTACACACAAGGCAGGGTGTGGATGGGTGTCACAGACCCGTGAAGCACGGTGTATGCAAGGCAAGGCTGAGCCCACCCAAGGCAAGCCTTGTGCACTCCTGCTTCTCCAGAGTAGTGCGAAGAACAAGCAATCACTGCTAACTCAGCTGTGTGGCATGGCGTGAATGGAGTTAGCTACAAACCGATATGGATCATAAAGTATAATGCAGGTCACGAAGATAACCTGGTGAAAGTAAGAGTAACCCCACCTCCAGCACTAGACCAGGAAATGAGCAGGGTTGGAGCTGGAACCCCTGTACTTGGATTTACTGGCTCCTGTTCAGATTCCTCAGATGAGTTACGGAGGTCTCTACCCAGTGCGGTATCTACCATATAAGAGCTAAAATGGCTTACTGTGCAGAATCACCACAGGTTTTTAAACACCTAATAAAATGAAACAAGACTTTGCTTGGGTCTCTTGTACCTCCCACAGTGACAGACTCAGGGCTGTTGTTAAACGAATGCATTCATACCTACTGAAAACATGAATGCCCCTCATCTCTCCTTTGCTTCTCAGAATGGGTGGGTGTTACAAAATTAACAAGCAGACACCTACAGCTTCCCATTTGAAACTCACAGGCAATAAGCCAAGTAGGGGCCAGCAGGTTGTATAGAGGCGAAGGCACTGGACTCCCACATAATCAACCACTGTTTGAATCTCAGACCTGGCAGCTTGAAACTCATGCCGGGCATGTGTGCCTGCCTGCTCAAAATCCCAAGAGGAGAATGAAGGAGAATGGATTGCAGTGTGGCTATCCCCCCACCCCGGACAGGAGGAGAAGAGGAAATTATTTCTTTGTTTCTGTCTCTCTATCCTCTCCTGTGAACACATGCACCCTAGAGCAAAAAAAAAAATCTCACAAATAAATAAATAAATAAGCCAATATAAAAGGTTGCCTATTTTATTGCAGAAGTTTTTATTCTTTTTTTAAAAAAAATAACAAATCCCTTTAAATCAACAACTAAAACAATACCACAAATGTCAGATGGATCTGTTCTTGAGAAAGGCCCAGGTTGAGAGGCTCTGAGCTATTTGGAGAAGAGCGGGCATGTCCTTTCAGACCTTTCCTTTTTCTGTTTTCTGTCATCTGACACTGCTGGCTGGTAGAGTAGGGAGCAATTGCACCAGGCCTTGGAGAGCCACGATTCCAATTCCTGCTAGTTGGTGGCTAACATTCTCCTGCCTATGTGTAAGCAGAGCACCCGTGGACCAGAAGACACTTGGGATGATGAAAAGAGAAAGGTCTCCTTTCACCCTGGCACCAACACCAGGTGATTACTGACATCAGAATCACCAGACATTTCCTCAGTCCCTGTGAATGTCTCAGGTGACCCACTCAGAATGCATCTGCGTGGCCGTTGGACTGCAGCCATTCTGATCCAGTGTCACCTCCAGGCTAGCAGCAGGGAGACAGCCCGTGAAATGGGCATTAGCTACAGGCTGCTGCCTGCTGAAAACCAGGGAGAGAGTAACATCAAAAGGACTGAGTTTCTGCCAGTGCCTTTCTAGGGCTTTCAGGACAAGGGAGCAAAGTAGGCTGATGAGCCAGAGACCTGGCCGTGGTCCCCCAAAGCCACACTGCCGAAGCCACAGGTCATAGCTAAATAAACGTTTAAAAGTTAAGTTTTCTTGGATCCCAAATATTTGGAAAGGTATTTTTTTAATGTCAATAGTTCCATCTGCAGTCACCAGTGCCTATAAGAGCTTGTTGGTTCAGAATTCTGCAGTCAACATTTCTGATAAAAAATAGCACCACATGAGCGCTATCAAGTTTATTCTTTCCTTCCAAGGGTATTCCGTTAAATATCCTTCCAGTGGGCTGCAGGAGCAGGAGGATCAGAAGAATCTATCTTAGACTATTCTGGAACTAAAGTAAAATACTCCTCCTCTTGAGCCCTAATGGATCTTAGCCATGGATGCCTCAGGGGGTGGAGGGAAGCTGATTTTGTAGGCTTCCAAGGACACTGAAGAAACAAGTCGTAGACCCCACCTCCTTATGGTAAACTAAGCCCCTGGAGGAACAGAAAGGAGAGAGAACTTATAAGCACCAAAGAAACCTGACAGTTTACTTCTTTTTACCTTCTCTACCTCCAATCCAGTGATTTTAGGACACTGAAAATACTGCCCTAAGGAAGACTCACTTACTGAGTTGGGATGAATCTTGCTCTTAAGCAAGTCAAGACATCATCCTAGCATGACCCCTATCTGAGGTCATCCATTCATTTCAGACCTCAGATTTTAATGAGATGTACTATGTGCCAGGACCCATGTGGGTCAGAAATAAAAGCCACTTCTCTTTATTTACAGGGTACTGGAATAGACACAAATAAATAACTAAGGACTTCTAGGAGCTGAGTTACTAGAGTTGGCTCTGAAAGAAGAGAGTTAGGTAAGCAGCGGGGCATAGCCTGACCAGGACAAGGGTTGAACTCCTCTCCCTCAGCTTTCCAGAAGTGAGACTGGGAGCCACCTTCATCCAGGCATGGGGCAGGGACTCCTACATGCTCATTTCCACCGGCTCCCTGGAAAACAGGGTCTGGCTTCTGCTTCTATTGGAATGAGAAGATCGTTACAAGATCTAAGGCTTGGATTTGGGGGAGAGGAATTTATTTTGGAGAAAGTGAATTTTTCTAATCTTGTAGCTTCTATATCATCCAGACAGAATTTGAGTCTACTTGTGTGTTGAGCAATACAAGGATATGTTATCCCAAAAAGTTCACACAGTTAACAATTCCCTTGAGCCCAACCTTTTTTGCTTCTCATGTTTTTGGCATAAGGCACTTGCACTTATCAGAGAAAGACAGAGAGAGGGAAAGTGAGAAATCACACCCTATGGGGAAAACCACACTGCAAATCTTTCTCCATTCTCCTCTCAGGATTTTGGGCACACATACACACATGTGCCCAGTGTGATTTTCTAGCTGCCAAGTCTGGGACTCAAATTGTGGTTGGCCATGTGGGAATCCAGTGCCTTCCCTGCCATGACATCTGCTGACCCCAAGGCCCAATCTTAAGACACCAAGCATAGCCCACATTTTTTTAAAAGAGTATTTTTTGTCTTAGGGTACATGAGCTCACCAGAGAGAGACAGAGACAGAGACAGTGAAAAAGAAAGTGAAAAATTACCCCCTAAAGGGGATGGCCACTCCTCAATCTATTCTCCTCCATCTTCCTCCTGGGATCTTGGGCATGCACGCACACATGCAGAGCATGATTTTCAAGTCACTGGGTCTGGGACTCAAACCTCAGTCAGCCATATGAGACTCCAGCAACACAACTGCTATGCCACCTAATGGACCCCCATATTCCACTCTTTTACTACAGCATACTGGCTTTTGGAATTGTGTGCTTTAGATTATTTCAGCAACTATAAGAAAATATGGCTTATGTTAACAAACAATATTGCTGTTATTTGTGGAAAAAGTACTCTTAGCAAAAGTTACTGAAATGTTACATTAGCTGATTTTTTTAGTATTATATAATAGGTGTAGTGAAGTAAGTGTGCAGTTATCTGTTTATACAACCCTTTAATATTTGTAGTTTGTTGTGACTATGGTAAATCTATATGGGAGTTGAATTATCCCTCTCCACAGCTGGAGAGAGATATAACTGTGGAAGGGTAAATGATTTGCCTAAAATAGAGAATCAGGTAATGAAGCAGTTAAGACAATACTGTCCCTGAGGCATCATAATTTAGGCTCTTTCTATAATATCACACTAAGTCCTTGTCTTTCCAAGAGTCCAGGAAAGGACAGTGCTTTATACAATAGGAACTGCAACATAGAATGACGGCTGCTTATCGTTCTTTCTGTAGGCCCTTGAATCACACACAATCACTTATATCCATGTTGGCTGTTTGAAGAGCAACATTCTAATCATAAAGGCATTCCAAAAAGAAATCATAAAAAAAGTTTCAATATATAGTGACTAATATTTAGATACTGGGCCAGCTCATGGTGTGGTAGTAAGGTGGCCAGATCCCACATGGCTGACTATGCAGCTCAAGTCCCAGACCAGGTAGCTTGAAAAAGATTCTGGGCAATGTGCATGTGTGCTCACGATCCTGAAAGGAGAAATGGAGAAGGGATTGTGGCATTGCCATCTCCCATGGAAGGGTGCTTTTGTACTTTTCATCTTTTTCTCTCTGTCTCTCTCCAGTAAGGACATGCATCATCTAACAAAGTTTTTCTAAAATGTAGATATTTATAGTCACATATCAACATCAATTAACTGAATAAATGTATTCAATTTAAATGAAACAAAGAGTTAGCAACAAATAGAAAGAAGTTTGCTTATAAAGTGACCTAGTGATCCATCCCCTAGTACTATGTTGAAATTGCATTTTCTTCTATAATATCTTCTCTTTGGATTATATTTCTAGTATAACCCTGGTATCAGGAATGTACATGGGAAAGCAGAGTCTCCCTTCCCCCTCCGCCTTCTCCTCCTCCTCTGCCTGCATTAGCCCACCTGGCATGACGGATGGAAGCGATGGCGTTGCTGAACTCGCTGTCAATGCTGCGACAGTTGTAGAACTCCTCGTAGGCTGGCCTGGAAGAGCCCTGGTACTCAATGCGGCTGATGCGGCAAATCCCCACGATCAGGATGATCAGCATCAGGATGAAGGCAACGCAGAGGGCTCCAATGATGATGTAGAGGGAGTGCCGGGGCATGTTGGTGAGACTCTCTGCCATGTGCCCAGACTTCCACTGGAGGTCTGAAGGTAGACACAAGCAAATGAGTTGCCCTTAGGAATGTGAAGGTCTCACAAAGGTAATTTAATGATTAAAGGCCATATCATTCTCACAAAGGTAATTTAATGATTAAAGGCCATACACACTGGAGAGAATTCTTTTCCATGGCAAATCCAGACTGGGGGCTAATATCTTTAATATATAAGTGCTCTTAAAAAATCATTAGGAAAAATCCAGGAATAGCCCACAGAATAATGGGCAAGGGACCTAAAGAGGAATTCATCAAATAAATTCAAATATAAAACAATTAAACTTTATCATAATAAAAGAAAATGCAATTTCTCCATCAGCTCCCAAATATTGGTTAAAAGTAAGATAACTATAGTCAACAAGGGTACACCAAAATGGAGAGTATCTATTGACACATAGCCCTTTTCATGAGCTAATTGGCACATACTTTAATCCAGATAGTCTCATTTTAGTATTCATGCTGGGGAAGTACCTCTGTATGTGCACAAAGTCCTGTAGAGAAAGATTTTCATTTTAGTATCATAATTTTTAAATATTAAATTATTAACTGTTATACATTTAGAAAAAGATTCAGACAATTGGGACCAGCAGATGTCACGGTGGTTACGGTGTTGGACTCCGACATGGCTGAACATAATTTAAGTACCAAACTCAGCAACTTGAAAATCACAACAGGCATGTATATGTGTGTGCCCAAAATCTCAGGAGGAGACTGGAGGAGAAAGAATTGCTGCATGGTCATCCTTCAAAGGGGTGATTTCTCATTTTCCCTCTCACTGTCCCTCAGTCTCTCTCCAGCAAACACATGCACCTTATTGCAAAAACCTAAAAAGAAAAAATAATTTCAGACAATAAGCACAGATACCCAAGTACTCACCACTCAGTTAATAAGTGTTAATACTTGACCATTTTTGCTCTAGATTTTTAAATATAGCTTTAAAAATATATATTATAGCTATAACTAAAATTTCCTCACTCCTATACTCTCTCTACCCCGTGGACAACAGAGAAATTTATAAAAGTCAAAAACAGGGAATACCCTGAATACTCAACACTTAGTGAAATGGAAAGATATTCATTCAAGAGCAAAAGAATATACGAATGTTACCAAACAGGATGTACTCCCATGGTATAATATTTTTACAATTGCATAAATTTAAAATATCTATCTACACATTAAAAGCTCAGAAGGATAGAGTGATGATTATGGTAAGTATATTATTTTTATTTCTCTTTATTTTATTATTATTATTATTTATATATACAATCACTGTACATCATTTAACTTGTAGAAAGAATTTACCCAACATGAAATACATCTCAGACCAGTCCAGTTGAGAATACTATACAAGTTATTATCAACAGGTAATAAACCACTTTTTGGTACCACTGTATTTTCTTACTGTAGACTAAGCTCTTTTAATCAGAATAGCCCCCAGAAGATATGTTGTTCTCTCGCCCCACTTTTCAGAGTAGGCCCAGGAATCTGACATCACTCATATGAGTGCATCAGATGTAAATCTGGACTTATGTTCTTGAGTTCTTAGCCCTCCCGACAGCAACATGCTACCAATAGTGACCTTTGGAAAGTAGGATTAGAAGCCATTGTTATTGGGACCAGCATTAGCGTAATGGCTATGTCGCTGAACTCCCATGTAGTCGACCACAGTTCAAGTCCTGGATCCAGTGGCTTAAACTCACGCCGGGTGCGTGTGCGTGCATGCCCAAGATCCCAAGAGGAGAAAGGAGGAGAAGGGATTGTGGTGTGGCCATTCGCCCTGGGGGGTGATTTCTCACTTTCTATCTTTCTGTCTCTCTGTCTCTCTGGCAAGTGCACGCACCCTATAGCAAAAACCTCTAAAAAAAAAAAGTGATTGTTATTTTCTTCTTTATATTTCTCAGTCTTATCCAGCTCTTTTCAAAACAATAATATATTCCTTTAACAATAAAAAAAAAAAGAATTGGTAATAGCTATTTGAAGAAAACACCCATGGGATCATCATCTAGCATATAAGAGTGCAAAGAGTGTGGGCTCTGGAGTCACACCAACCTTGCTTTTCATCCCAGCTCTGACAGTTACTTGAATTTTCTGAGCCTTAGTTTCTTCAGTTGTAAGATGAAAATAATACAGACCACACTAACTTACTGTAAAAATAAATTTTTAAAAAAAAATTTAAAAAAAAGGAAAACAGTCACTGTTGGGAACAGATAGATGGTCCCTAAGGAAGATCAACTGCCATGCTTAAGGTGAGAAAAATAAATAGGAGGATGCGGCCCTCTGAGACATATGCTCCAAAACTGAAGATTATCTAGCTTTGGAGTTTATCTGTGTCCTTCCTGAAAGCACCAACCTATATTTATAGAGGAAGGGAATGAAAGAACAGTATAATTTTTATGTTTAGCATACGGCAAGCATTCTCATCTGCTTATGTATGGACATGTCTAGATAATGTGGGCAGGATTTCACTTTCACCAGGCCGTCTATTTTATGGTGGGACCCTGGGTACATGGAAATGGGACTTGTAGGTAGGGAACAGTACCTAGCCCATCTTCCTGTGAAATCCTGAGACTCTGCTCACTATTGCCTAAGAGTATTTGTGGCATGTGGATACCACACTCTTATCGTAGCCTTACATTTCCAAGGATCACTTAGTCAGCTAATCTTCCCTCAAAGACATGCAGTCTGAACAAGAGCACAGGTACCTGTAAGATGCCCTTGCAGACCCATTTCCTATAACCCTAACAGAAAAATGGCCCATATCCCTGATATGGATGGTTCCTGAGACTAAGAAGAAAGAATGAAGAAAATGACGTCTGAGTTTGAGTCCAGATCCTCTGAGTTCTGAATATTTTACTAAGATCTTTGAAGCCCGGTTTTGCCATGCAAGTCTGCCTGGCTGAATTGGTAGGGCCCATGGAGTTAGTAAGACTATAACTGCTAGTACATTCACCACTCCATTTGAGCCAATTTACACAAAGGCAGACAGAGCAACCTAAATCACCACAAATCAATAATCATCACAGAAGAGGGACGGTGCTTTGTGAGTAAGATCAAGGCTCAATCCCAAACCAGCAGCCATTTCACTTGGCATTGCCTGGCACACAATGACAGAGAGGATTCGCTTTTCTGGCTGAAAAAGTAAGTGTGATTCACTTGATTTCCAAGTATTATAACATTCCCTAAATAACTCAGCTGTAAGCCGGAGTCCAACGCTTAGCAGAGAATATTGTAACCTTCGAGCAGCAACCACAGGAGGACAGCCAGCACTTTCTCCTGCAGATCTGGTCACGACGGAAGATCACACGAGTTCTTGATGAGTTCCCATGGTCCGTGCACAAACAGCACATAAATAACCTACACATCGCATCCACTGGGTATATGCGGCAGTGCGTGACCACACAGCCCCCACAGAAACACGCAACTACACTGGGTGTTGTGCTTGGTGCAGTCTCCTGGTACCTGCAGTGCGTATGCTACTCACACTTCTGACCATCTGTTTCACGCTCAAAACTCTGTGTTCCAAACTGTTTAGACTTCTGGGAAAACTTTCTCAAATTGTGGCTTAAAACCCCTGCTTTTCTCTCTTCCCTCCCTTTTCTGTAAAGCTAACTTCCTCCTTACGGTTACCTAAACCCTTTCTGACAGAAGTAAAAGTGGCTGCTTTAGTAGCCAGTCTGGAACTGAATAAATCCAACACTTGGTTTGAAGGATGCAAATTTATCTGCATCAGCTGCGACAACCACCATCTCCCAGACCAGCTGCTCTCCTCATAAGCCGTCACTTCACTGCATCCCAGGAGTCCCCTGCACGAGTCACCTACTGTGTGAGCTACAGCGTGGCACAGGAAAGAATCCTGGACTAGAAGACTCTGGATGAGATGACCTCAGCAGCCCCAGCAGGTGCACAGCCAGGAACACGTGCACAGGAGCTGTTCCTGGAAAACACCCCACTTGTGGGTCTGAGGATCACTTGCATTTTTGTTTAAATTAAATTTTGTAAAGGTGTTGTCATTTCCAAAGTGCTTTTGTGTTTAGCATTTCAATTGGCCCTCAACAACCCCATGAGGTAGATAGAGGGACCAGACTTAGAGCAAAGGTCAAACCGGCAGAAAGTGACCAAGCTGAGAACAAAACCAGAGCCACCAGAAACAGACTCTGTCAATTTACGTATTGATTCTAAAACATGTTGCCTCTATCTGCCTTTTAATTTACCTAACTGAACAGGGCTAGACTACTTCATGTGTCCACATATGCTACTTGAAGAGAATGAAAGTGGATTCTGTGAAGACTTGACTTAGCTCAATAATTCTTTGGACCACCTGCTGCCTAGAGCACTCATGAAGATGGCTTTCAAATGACCTTACATTGTCTATAGTTGACGATGAGCTGGACAACCAGAGCAGCCAATGAGACTGGAAAAAGTAGCAACCTCTGTTAGTCTTCATAAGAGGACTGAATGGGGAAGGGCAGGGACAGAGCACTCATCCTATTCACCGAGACCCCTTCACTCAACACAAGAATTAAGCACCTACTCTGTGCCTGGCACAATGCTAGGGAGAAAACGTGAGAGAAAGCAGAGAGCTCATGGGCCCCTGATCTTTTGAGGGGTACGGGGATTGAGAAAATGATCACAAAATAAGTGTAGAATTACAGCTATGCTGAGTCAACAAGGGATGTTCTCTGTGGCGTTGCAGGAGAGGACAGTAGATGCTCCATCTGAGTGTCAGGGGAACTTTTGAGATGGGAATTCCAAGGGAGCTGCTAGGTAAGGGTGGGACATACAAAGGGAACAGACCAGCAGGAGGAGAGACTGGAAGCAGGACAATGTGGCAGCATATTAGAGAGCAGGGGGAGGGCACCCAGTGGGTATCTCCCCGCAGGTAGGGCAACCACGGGTCCCACAATTTGCTCATTAGTCATTTATATATTTTAGTAGGAGCTCAGCACAGCCAGGGATGGAAGCAGTGGGAAGGAGGGTCTGAAAGTTCAGATT